CTTCCAAATATCAGCATTCCTATTATTGCCACCATCATCAGAAAACACACCCAATGCAGAAAAGTTGGTAATTAAGGAACACGCTTGCTATCTGGTTTGAGATGAATCACTAGCTTGGGAGAAAGTTCTTTTATATCAATTTTCTTTTTAGATCAAAGTTCCTTTAGATCACTTTAGTTGCCAGCGAACCGCTGATAGAGGAGAAAATATCTGTTAGAAGTCATTCTGGCTGATTCCAGCCTCTACTCTGTGTCAGCAATCCCCCTTCGGACTGCCTCTTCACCTCCGCTCTATGGTTTCCAGCCTTCGTGGTGCCCTTGGTAATTCTGTTGCCAAGGTTGCCACTGAAGTGAGTTACTTTCTCTGGAGATTTCAGCACCGCACTGGGAAAATCTCACTGCAAAATCTGCCTTCTTTGTAACTGGAGGCCTGATGTGAGATCCAGGGCTTGTTAAGCACTGAGTCTGGTACAAGTGGCCTGACCAAGGCTGGACATCTGAGAAACCAAGTTCCATCCCCCCCAGGACTGAGAGCAAAGGTTTACTGGCTTTACCTGCTCTGCCATCCACCTGGGGCAAACTTGGGTGTTCTGTATTCTAATCCCCTGCTCATCTTTGGAGGTTATATACTGAACTTCTCTCTGTTGTTTTCTTTGCCTTTTCACATCCTGGCTCTTTTGTATTTCTATATAATATGTTTTCTAGTTACAGAAAGGAAAACTATATGTCATAAAGTGATGCAATATACAGCCACTAAATCAATTACATTTTTGGCTTTCTTTCTAAGGTCAAGGCTGTAATGCAGCATTAAAATTCTTTATATAATTAGCGAGTAATAGGACACATATAAAAGTCTTATTTTTTACAAATAGGAATTGATTTATATTAAGGTGGTAGGGTCAGGTGCTTTGGTTTGGAAAGCCTGGAGTTAAAATTCAAAGTTTAAAGTCTGGTTCAGGGCCAGATTATTATCTTAGCCCTTAGGTTAAAACCCACCTCTCCACCTGCTGAGTTAAAAGTCAAATTCAGTCAACAGGGTGGAAGGGATAGGGTTTCAAAGGATGTGTTTACAAAACCTTTCTCCCCAACCTAAATTTCCTGGAACAATTTGTGGTTTCATGGGGTGATGTGACTAATTTCTGGTTATGGGAATGTGGTGGTAGGGACATGATTCTTTCATGCCCAGACCCTAAAATCCTTCCTCATGTCCATTTGCCTCTTTGGCTTCCTTCTACCAGCTAGCTGTAGAGGATCCAGGGAGGGAAGAATTCCCAGTCTTTAGGGTTTAGCATAAAGCTTTCTCCATTCCACTCATGCTTTGTGGGAAGGAGGATGGAGTCGCTGAGACTTTGAATGCTTCCTATAAAGGTTAATGGAGTAGACTAACAAAGACGTTGCAGCAGGAGGTCCTCAATCGAGGCTACTAGCTCTTTTTTCTTCTGGTTCCCATGAAGCAAGGCCTGAATCCTCTCCAGGAGGTTGGCAATGGGAAGAGTTTCTGGGGCTTGTCTAAGTTAAGTCCTTGAACAAGCCAGGAATAAGGTGGGAAGCCCAGTGCATTAGACCAGGTGAGGGGGCATAACTGTAACTTTCCCTTCCCTGGCTTCCAACTACTTTCCTGTTAGCTTCTAGTTCCCAATAAAAGCATCTTCTGCCCCATTTCAGAGAGAAAGCCTGAGTTGCAATGTTCTCCACATCGCCCACAAGATGCCGTAAGGACACATGGGGCAATGGAAGGAGCTTTTTCTTTATTCCAAAATTTCATTCTCAATGAAGAGTCATTGATGTGTTTTAGGTAGTGGAAGGAATTACTAAAATTTTCTGTTTAAAAGATCTCCCTAGCTTCTAGTTAATGACTTGGAGTAGAAATCCCAGCTGGGTAGAACTTACTGTCAGGGTTTCTGTAAGAGTCAGTGGTAGCCTGGACCTGGGGAGGAACACAGGAAAGGTCTGGAGAGATGTCAGGCACCCTGAGACCAAGGTTCTGACAGGACTTCTTGGGTATTCTATGAGAATGACGTCTGATGTGCACGGCAGGGCAGATGTGAGTGGCAATATTAGAGGTCACCATGTGGCGTTGGTGCTGTTCTGAGAGCATTACGGTGGGAACCCAGAACTGACCCATTGTAAAGAGCTATTGTGTGCAACCTTGGTCAAGAGGACAATCACTGAACTCTGAGTTTGTCCCAAACTGAAGCTGTTTTCCAAGAGAAGAAAGGCCCCCTTTTCTAGCCTTCACAGAGGTGCCAGACAGGCCCTGCAGAGACTTTTGGCATGCTGAGTTTGACCCAAGGAATGATTTGGAGCACCATCCAGTTAGCTGACAGATTCTCCTCCCCTGGTAACAGCTGGGAAGAGGGTAAAGGTCGCTTGCGCCTGAGAAAGTGTATGAAAGCTTTCTCCCCTACTTTGTATTCCAAATGAAGTCTGGAGGAGGAATGGGAAGATAGAGAGTTCTACGCCAAGATATCTGCTCTCAGGAAGGTGGGCTAGGTTGAGACAGGTGTGTGAAAGTCAGCATGAAGGCACTGAACAAAGCGAGGAGAGTGGGAAGGTGACTGAGTCCCTGCTCAGCAGCAACAGAAAAAGAATCGTCTGTGGACAGAAGGAAAGCCAAGAACAAGCTGAGCTCTGGAAGTCCAGAGAACATTTCCTAAACGCTATGTAGTTCTTCATCTTTTTCTAGAAATAAAAAAATTGAAAACCAATGAGCAACCTAGGCATATCTGTAAATCCCAACATTTAGGTAGATGAAGCAGGAGGATTGCCATGAGTTCAAGATGACCTTGGTTTTGCTTTTTTATTTGAGCTAAAATAAAATAAATTTATTTTATTTTTTATTTTATAAAAGTATTTATCTGTTTAATATTTTTCCTTCAACCAGTGTCTTGCTCTATGTCTTTTTTTTTTTTTTATGTTGGTCTTGAACTTGCAATCCTCCTTCCTCAGTCTTTTGAAGGCTGGAATTGCAAGAGTACACCACCACTTCCAACTTTTGAATTCTTTATACTCAGGGTGCCAAACCCTTTAAAAATGTAACAGCCACCGTTAGCTCATAGGATTCATAGAAACAGAGCAGGGTGGACTTGGCTTTCAATGTTTATCTACTCCAACTCAAAGGGGAGAGGGGTTGCATTTGCTGGGTTGCTTTGACTTGGTTTGCTTGCTGTAGAGTCTTTCTGGAGGGAACATTTGTGAGGGAGCAAGCACAAGCTCATTTTGCTCTCAGACCTGACTGCATCATTTCCTGGCTTACGTCATATTAGCATTGAACTTCGCCTGGTTTCATTGGTGTGAGAGCCCTGCATGGAGAAAGCTGCTTTCAGACAGAAGATAATGAACTCAGTGATTCTGTAGGTGTGCAGTCTCTAAAGCCAGGGAAAGAGTGCCATTCTGGGGGAGAGAGAGAGTCTTTAAACAGTTCTAATTGTTCAGGTGAGTTATTTTAAACCACACTTAGGTAAATGATCACGTTGTTATTATTTTTGATGGAGTATATTTCAAGAAGCGTTCCTGTTAAGTGTGATTAAATATCATTTGAATTTCACTCACTCAGGCAAAAATTTCCATCACTTTAGGCGTTTTCCCCCTAGATAATTTAGCATGGGAGATGCTAACTCAGGTATCTTGGCTCCTTACTTCAGAACTTTTGTTGGGACGAAAGAAGGCAAATGTTTATTTTAAAAGTTCAAAGTGTGAAAAATAAGAATGATTATAAACTTTAATTGCTGTGTAAAATACACACAATATACATATAAAATGTTACATATAAAGCCCTCCTGTAAAATCGGTGGCTGAAACAATAGTTATTGTTGCGCAGAAGACTTCTCGGTGTCTGCATGACTTTGAATGTTCATGCTGTCTGAGGTCTGACAAGCTTCCTCACCTGATTCTCACTGAAAGAACTGGACTGTGAGTCTGGGAGTTCTGAACACCTTTGGATCACCTTGCTTGTGGTGGCCCTAGATCTCACACTCAGGTCAGTCCGTGAGCTTCTTCTCATGCTTCCATCTTCCAGACATGACTGGACACGATAAGGATTGCAGCATGACTTGGCTGCACCCCTAGTTCTGGTAAAGAGATGGCCAAATTCTCTGAAAAATGAGGTCTGCCACCCCGTTGTCTTTATGACGAACTTATCTTGCCCTCAAACTATCAGTCTAACTGTGGCTCTAGGTTTTCACTGAGAGAGCTTGCCATTCAAGTGCCAGCTCGGATTTGACATAACAAACTAATTTTTTTTTTTTAAAAAATACAAGACTAAATTTCCTAGGCATGTTCAACCTGGGTTCAAGTAGTCCCCAATCTACTGTCCTCTTCCTCTGAAGTCTCCTGAAACTGCCTAGCAACACACTTGCTGGACTCTTAATGTTGGTGAGTTTCGTTAATGGTGACACATTGCTGCTCAGCAAATGAGGCTGACTTAACCGTAGATTTGTGATAGTTTGGGTGTGGGAGAGGGTCCCTCCTTGGGACACAGCTCTGGTCTTTGTGCATCTCCAGCAAGTGTCTGGTAAACGTTATCATTTTAGACATTTGGAAAACCCAGCGACACGTGCTGTGCTGTGGGGTCATAAAGAGAACCTGAGTCCCAAGTCTGCACCTTTCTCAAGCCTTCCTGTGCCCGGATTCCCTCTTCTGTCACTAGAACCTTAGCTATAGGATTCTTGAGCTCACCACCTCCACACATCCCCACAGTCCATCACAGGTAACAAACTCAAATTTGAATGGGAGGGGGGCAGGTAGCCGGAGGAGCAGCGATTGAATTTGGGTTCTTTAAGTTAGGTTGTAAATTGCACCTCTTAGGGCTTTCATGTAGAAATGCCCACCCACAAAAGAGTTACTTTGGTAATTATCTTCTGGCCAGGGACTGCGGAGAAGTGCTATTATTGGGGCTTGGGCTAGTCCTGGGGACAGCTGTGGGAGGAAGTGGGCGTGGCAATCGCTCTACTTCCTTGTTTGGAGTAAACTTGGGCGTCTGACGGCTGAGGTGTTGGCGTCTCCATCTCTTGTGTGCTTTAGGGGAGCTTTCCACTCTGCCTGAGAAAACACACCTAGAAAAAGCACGAACGTCAATCCCCGCCATTCCCTCGGGGTCTCCCAACCTCCCCCAGCCTCCAGAGAGCAAAGCGCGAAGGGGCGCGGCAGCCCGGACCAGCCCACAGCCACACGCAGCCTCGCAGTCTCGCCAGTCCCCTGCCGTCGCAGCAGCTGCAGCCGGTTGGAGATGGGGCAGTGGCGGGGGCGCAGGGACTGCACAGGGAGCCTTGGTTGTTAGCTCCCAGGTCTAGGTGCGTGCAGCCGCCGTGAGCAGCTCGTAGCCAGCGTGGGTCTGTGGTGACAGTGCAGTGAAGGCTGGGCACCGGCTCGAGTTGAGACCCCGGAGGCACAAGCCATGACGGACGCCAGCCAAAAGAAGGAGGGCTTCAAGAAATGTAGGAGCGCCACTTTCAGCATCGATGGGTACAGCTTCACTATCGGTGAGAACTTTGTACCCGGGCCGTTCTTGGCGTCCTCGCACACCCTCCGGTGGCGGTGGCCAGTTCTAAGCGGGGAGGGGATGGGCATGGGAATCTGGGTCGGAGGGTGCTGACTGGAGGGAGCCCTGGGGAATCTGACCTGCCTGGGGAAGCCCAGTTCGGGCTGTCCCTGCTACTCCATTGCTCTAGCTAGCATCCTGGAGTCAGTTTTCAATTACACCTCTCTGCATGGCTCATTCCACGCTGAGATTTGGGTTGCAAGGTGTAGAAGAGGATGGATGGAGACAGAGAGGGAGATAAGAACGAGGAGAAAGAGGAGTCGGAAAGGACCGAGAAGGAAGTGGGCAGACAGAGACAAAGAGTACCAGACAAGTCAGAAGTTTAGGGACCGAGATGTGAGGACAAAGACTAACAGGAGGGAGGGAGAGAGCACTAGAGAGTCCTAGAGCAAGGTCCTTTTAGAGTCCTGAGCTCCCAGTGGCGGGTTGCAGGCAGACAGGCAGGGAGGGATGATGCCCATTGTGACTGGAATGTTTCAGAGAAAGAAAAAAGCTGGGGTGTCGGGGAGCTGTGTATTGGGAATTTCAAATGGTTTGTTTTTCTCCTGTTCACGAAGAGGGGAGAGACAGAAGGGGCTGGGAGTGTCCTCAGGTTGCTGACCACCGTGTTCAGTCACTGGAGGCCAGCATTTGAAAAGGTCAGGCCTCCAGTCTTACTCTGTGTTTCTGCTGTTTTGAAACAGCTTTTCAAGGCCTGGCATCATTATCCTCTTGGGAGCTGAGCCCACCTGGGAGATGGAGCTAGCTGTGGGTCAGCTTCCTTTAGGAATGTTTGCTTTGGCTGGCAGCAGGTCTGAGGTGGGTACCCAGATGCTCCTCTCAGCTTTTTTTTTTTTTAAAGAAGTCACTCAAGTCACCATGACCCTTAACCCCATTCCCCCCCCCCCCATCTCTGAGAATGAGAGCATATGCTATTTTGTTTTTGGCTCCACCTGCTTGGGGTTAGAGCAGGAAAGTGCTGGCACCAGGAAGAGACCAGTGATGAGGAACTTGTCTCTGGGTCACCTGTGCGCCCCATGCAGCGCTCCAGAGTTAGTGGAGCAGAATAAGCATGTGTCCTTTCCCAGACACACCAGATAACACCTGTCCACACTTTCCTGGGTTGTTTCTGCAGCCAGGACTGCCGTTGTTTCCCCAAATGGGCATAGGGAAGTCATGCCTGTCTTTTGGAAACTCAATTCTCTTGGTGCCTCCTTCACTTTCCATCCCCAGGGAATGACCCCCCCCCCCCCCCCCCCCCCCCCCATCACCACCACAGACCCAGGAGTTCACCTCCAGAGCCAGCCAGCCTAGAATGGCTGGTGGGAGCTGGTGGGTAGTCCAAGGGCACTGTCAATTCCCAGGAGCTACTTATTGGCTTATTGCTCTCTAGGGGTGATGCTCTGTGCCCAGGGAAGGGTCTTAGAAGTGAATGAAAAGTTTCCAAGGTCAAAATTGTCTCATCTAAAGGTCACGTAAATTTCAGTTTTCTTGACTCCAGTAGAAAAACTTTCCAAAGTAAGTTTTAACTTCTACCAGGTAGTTCCCATCAGACCTTATCCTCCATACAGCCGTATCTCACTAAGACGTAGGGTCTTAGAATGATCCTCCCCCGCCTACGATCCTTCCATTAAGGGATGTTTTGCTAGCCTAGCAGAACCCTATAGCCTGGTGGTCAGAAGGCCCCCAACGAGAACTGGCCTCTGAGAGATGCCAGCTACAAACTTCACTCATAGTTGCTGGGCTTCTGCTCTTCTCATCCTGTCCTCTGTCACCCCCATCAACAAATGCCTTTTGAATTTTACTGTACTGCATGATGTGTCTGCCACATGACAAACACTCAATAAGCAGTAATTGTTGCACTTATTCAAGATATTAAACTAACATATGAGTAGTTTATGAAGACAGATAGACTTTGGATCTTTTTTTTTTTTTTTTTTATTTTTTTTTTTTTTTAGACTTTGGATCTTTATTCAGGGATTTTACACTTCTGGTTAGATGCTGTGTCTGCAGAAACACGTTATAAAGTAAAAATTAGTAAGTGTGATAAAAAACCATTTAGGATTTTAGGCCAATATAGACATTTTAGAAAATGCAGATATTCAAAAAGGAAACAAAGAAATTTACCTCTTATATCATTCACTGATAAATGTTAATATTCCTTGTTTATACTTTCCAATACATTTTTTTACAGAGACACATTTTAACATAGTGTTTGGAAATCTCATATTTAATAATATCTTATTAGTTTGGCTTTTTGGCCTATGAGAACTATTCCCTTAAACCAATCACCTATTGTGAGTTCCTTCGGCTCTCACTTTTCATCCTTGTGGGTAATGATAAAAACAAAACCCTTGAGGATATCTAGGGATTTTCCCTTATTATAAGATCTATTTAAACATGAGTGTCTTCAAGGTGATAGTTACAGTTTGCAATAAATAAACAATCTCATCTGCCAAGCGAGCATTAACGGTAACGAATCCACTTTGGATTACAAGTACTTTTTAAGATTAAGCTTCTCGAAGTGCAATTTCTTGTTCAAAGTATGCCCATTTTTAGTTTAGGGATTTTAAAATGTTTTGCTCAACCGTGGCTTGGAAAGAGCTCCTACTACTTTATGCTCCCATTATTAGTGTATCAAAGTCCTTCCTTGCTCTCATGAATGCTATACACTATGGCTTACTTAAAAGGGCTCTAGTCTGAGAGGTGGATTGTGGCATCTCAATTCAACAAGTTTCACTATTTTGTAAAATTGCTTTCTCATTTTCCTTGACTGTTTTACCCTGGGAAAGTCATCACTGATTAATTTAAAAAGCTATTAATTTATGTAGTACATATTAATTTTACACACCATATTATCATTATATGTTGGTTAGTTTGATATACCATATGCTAATCATATAACAACTATATAGCTGATATGAACTAATATACATTATATTCATAGATACATTATATATGTGTGTATGTATTATGTATGTATGTGTTATTATATATGTTTGAAAGCCTTTCAAGTGAATTTTGTCATCTATGTTGCATGTAGTTTTTGCAAGCAAGACCCTTTTCTTTGCAGCATCAATGTATGTCAGTCAGAGTCTGTGCTGAAAATCCTACTGATTCACCTTGTGCTTCAGCAGGATGGACCAGGGCGCCACCCCCCATATCACAAAGCAGAGAATCCTGAGGCGGTCTTGGTGTCTCCAGATCACTCTTTCTCTTGGGCATCTGACCTTCTGTCAAAGGAACCACTTCTTCCTCTAGTCTACTAGTTTCTAAAAAATTTGGGTCAAAGGAATTTAAATGGCCCTGAAGACTCAAAAGATTCTTCTGGGAAGGCATATGGGGATAAGGGAATTTTGGGGTCAAGGTAGTTGAGAGACAGGAGCTGTGACAATGTTGTAAATGCCCCCTCATCCTCAGCAGATCCCCGTCCTTTCTCTGGGGAGGGCATATTTCCCTCCTGGTTCTCAGTGGGCCTATGACTCTCTCTGGAGAGAAATGCCCCAGGGGAATGTGGACAGACATAGCATTTTAGAAGTGGAACTGCCTGGGGAGCATATAGTGTCCTGCTTAGATTTTTGTCAACTCATAGAAGCTCGTCATTGAGAAGAGAGAACCACTACTGAGAAAATGTCATTGGCTACAGGCCATTCTGGGGGGCATTTTTCGTTTTGTTATTGATAGGGGAAGTCAAGCCCCATAGGGGTGGTGTCACACCTGGGCAGGTGGCCCGAGTGCCATAAGGCAAGCTGAGCAAGCCACTGGAAATAAGCCAGTAATCAATGTTCCTCCAAGGCGTTTGCTTCAGTTCTGCCTGTAGGTTCCTGCTCTATTTGAATTCATGCCCTGATTGTCTAGTGATGGACTGTTATTTGGAGATGTAAGATGAACAACCTCACTTCCTGGTTGTTTTTGGTCATGGTGTTTTATCACAGCAATAGAAAACCTGATTGAGCTAATGAAGGGAGGCCAGAGGAGTTGATATTCTGTGGTGAAGGACAGCCCTGAAGAGTTGGGACTAGTCTTAAACACCAGTAACATTCCCATGGAGCAAGCTTTGGAGAGTTGGACTAAGCGACCTTGTACTCAGATTGCAGATGCTCTTGGGAACGGATGCCAAAACTGAAAATGGGCTCCGTGTAAACAGAGTAGCTGTGGGTTGTGGTCTAGGCTTCTCCACTGGTACTTCACCTGACATACTCCATCATGACAACTCTGAAAGATGAGAGGTCATATGCTCCCATATGGAAGTTTTGAGGTGAGGTGATTTTGTAGACATCACATAGGAAGGAAATGGCAAGGCTGAGATGAAACCACCCATGCCTGGCATCTCCCACCAGGCTCGCCTCTGTACACCATACTGCCTCCCACAGTGGGGGTGGTTTTTGCCTGGCCTTGAGGCTAGCCTACCATCTTAATGAAAAGAGATCTGGGGCTTTGTTAGGTCTGCTGGACCAGCTCAGATTCCAGTAAAACCAGAAAGAGCCAGGGTCTTAAGTAGTATAATCGCATACTCTCTAGAAGAAGATCATGTAAAAGAATGGGGCTTGCTAGTCTGTCAGCCATTAGGTTTCTAGTCCAGTTCCATTCTCCTGGGTTCTCAGGGTGAATGGCTTTTCATTCTCTTCTATGATTTACTCAGGGAATCATGGGAACAGGTGTGTGGTCAAGAGGATCTGGACAAGTCGACAAGCGGCAAATGTAGAAAGCACTACCAACTTACCTTCCACCTGTAGGACACAATTGGACTTGTGATGGAAACCTATGATGGACATGATTAACTTCAATTAATGTCCATGTGTGGTTGGCTTGGTGCCATTCTTGAGAATGAACATTTGAATGTGAAATGAATGAACACGTGTGTGGGGTGGAGTAGGATCTAATTATTTGGACATATTTTTCTTGTCTTCTAGAGTTTGAGTATCTTTTGGGGTTGGTGTTAAGTGGATTTATAGATCCTGA